AGCGGCCCGGGCCCGGCCAGGGCTCCTTAAGGAGGACGTGGGGCATCCGTCCGTCCCTCCCTCCCCCTTCCTTCCTGGCCTTTGTGGGTTGTTTGTGCCGGAAGCCGGTCCCTGCCCGGGACAGCGGCCCTGGGGACGTCAGCTGCGAGCTCCGGATGGTGAAGCCACTTCCTCCAGCACCTTCCCCCCGACTCACAAAGACACTGTTAATTGGGGGCTGCTCCTGGCCCCGCTTTGCCCGACGGGGCCACCAGGTGAGACGGCCACCCGCAGCCTGCAGCATGGGGACAGCCACGTTGCCGCACCAGGACGGAGGCAGCGGCGCCTGGCAGCTCACGCCCATTCGAAGGTCACCCGTTTATCTCGGTCCTGACCATAAACAGGGAACTAGATGTCCCAGGAGGTTTTCACACCCCGGTACCTCCCCACCGCTGCATCCCCACCGAGGGGGAATATGTCACCGGTGGGTGACCCCATCCAGCTGAGACAGTGGCAGCCGGCAGAGCGGGGACCCCCCGAGGGGCAGATGAGGGCGAGGGGGAGCCCGGGTTGCGCGGGGTCCTGCCCCCCAGCCGGCCCGGCTCCCAGCGGGCCAGGAAATGCTTTGCAAGGGAGGGACTTTTGACAAAAATAAATAAACCAGAACAAAGGTATTTCTGCAAAATGAAAAATAAATATTAGACCTACACACAAAGCGAGGCGTGGGGACAAACGCACAGAGCGGAGCCGAGCTCTCTGGGGCTTGAGAGCAACTGTTGTGCTCGACTCTGGGATTGCACTGAAGGTTTGAGATAAACGTGATAAACATCCCCACTCCGGGCTCCAGCGGTGCCTGAGCACCCCCGGGCTGCCCTGGTCTCCCAGGGACGGGGACGAGGATGGGATGGGGACAGGGATGCAGCCCCTGCCCACGCAGCGGTCCATTGCTGCCCGCAGTCCCAGCTCCCACAGGGGCCTGGGCAGCCTCTCCTCGGCCGGGGCACGGCAGCACCCCAAGAGCCGCGCTCCAGGACAGGGGCGGATTTCAAAGCCCCCTTCCCCGTGGGACGCTGCAGACTTCCCGCACCCTCCCCAGGCACCGGCTCCTGCAGAGACACCGGCTCAGGGAGCTGCAGAGCGAGGACAGGATGGGGCACGTCCCGGCACACAGCGGGGCCAGGCTGGGACCGGCATCTCCCCGGGGCCACGGGGGCTGAGCCGCAGCGGGGGGCTCCCCAGCATCCCCCACCCAAGGGACACAGGCTCATTCGAAGCCCGAACGGTGCCGGTTTGGTTGCTGCAAAGCCCCTGGCTCCCTCCACGACAGCAGGGTGGCACGGCCACGCAGAGCCAAAGTTAATCATTGCCGAGACTGAAACCAAACAGCGTCGACAGGCAGTGTCTCATGGCTGGCGTCCCCGAACGCGGGGCGAGCAAAGGGGAGAGGACCCAGAGCCTCGGTGCTCCTGGCGCCCGGCCCATCTGATCCCACCCTGTTTGTCTTTCAGGGAGTTTGAGACCAGCTCACCCAGCCCGGCACCCTGTGCAAAGCCTTGCGGTGCCAGGGAATGGTACCAGCTGGGAAAAGCCACGGTGCCTAAACGGGGTGACAGGGAGGGACCCGGCAAGCACCGGGCACAGCGTCGCACCAGCGGCGATAACGCCGGACCCCAGGAGCTGCCTGCTGCGGTGTGCAAACATGCCGGGACCGGGCACCGGGGCGGCACAAGCCGGGCAGAAAGAGGCTCCTGGCACAAAGCCCTGGCCGGGCTCGGCACAGCCCCAAGTGCCAGGAGGAGCGGCGGGGTCCCAACGCAGCCCCTTGTGCTCACCGCGGCACATCCCGACCCAGCGCTGCCTCGGGCACGTTCAGCCCCGCCGATGATGGGCAGGCAGGGAGGATGACCGGGGGGA